ACAAATTCTGCAGATTTACAGTAGCAAACACTAATATTTGTTACTCATTTATAAAATTTGTTACATGTCACCGATGTTGGAGTTATTGAGTCTGTTTCGTTTTATGAGGGTCAAAACTTCACACCCTGCTTCCAGATGTCTGACAAATGGAGAGGATGTTAAATCTGGAGAACTTCCTCAGTTAGTTTCCTCTGTCCCCCATCTTGATTTACGCTCTCATGTCTTGCCCTCCTTTTGCGACTTCTCCAGCTTCCTGCCCAAATTCCAGAAGGATGGCATCATCTACGAGCGATCCTCACTAAACATTATGGCGGAAGGAAGGGGGGGAAAAAAAGAGCAAAAACAGGTGTCACCTCTGAAAAGGCCTTTACCCGACCTCCCAGGAGCTAAATGGCTTGGCTGCCCCCTACACAAGGTGAGTATGACATTAAACAAAATGATAGGCTTTGTTAATGGCATCACGGTGCACGGATGGCTGTAAAACAAAAGGTTTAGCAGCTTCTTGTTTTGGCTCGGTGTTGACAGAAAGGCTCGTGGTTGAAATGATCCGTGACGATGCTCCCGGGTTGATGCGGAGTGCATCAAAATGTTGTAATGCTGCTAAAGGAAAATGAGAAATAACATAAGGTGCAGTTTATTTGCTCCCAAAAGGCGCTGCACGCGCAAACTGTAGAACCCAAAGTCTTTTCACTATTACATCAATTTAAACAATTAATTTGTTAATATTCCCAGAAGTAAAAAAGAAAAACAAAACAATTATGAATTACATTTGCATTTATATAATTCATGAAAAAACTCAAGAAAACAACATGTAGCAAAACAATCAGTTTCTGATTGCCCTGACCACACCAATACATAAACTTAATCTAATTAACTTAAGACAATCAGAAAATGGAAAACATAAACAGCAGAAAACAAATTAATTGCATGATTGATAAGCAGACACAGTGAATGAGGGGAAAAAGGTAAAAATGAAAGAATCCCTTTTTATAAACAGACTTGCGATTACATTTTGAAAACCAATTATTACTTCAATTAAAAACAGAATAAGCAACTAGAATAATTAACCAGCAACTTTTTTTTCT